TCTGTTTTCGGTCTGGTGTCTGTTGTCGGTCTGTTTTCGGTCTGATGGCGGTCTGGTGTATGTTGTCGGTCTGTTGTCGATCTGGTGTCTGTTGTCGGTCTGTTATCGGTCTGGTGGCTGTTGTCGGTCTGGTGTCTGTTGTCGGTCTGTTATCAGTCTGGTGGCTGTTTTCGGTCTGGTGTCTGTTGTCGGTCTGTTTTCGGTCTGATGGCGGTCTGGTGTCTGTCTGGTGTCGGCCTGTTTTCTGTCTGGTGCTGTTGATTTGAGTAGGGTATTGTACAACGTAGCATATTCGTACCCAATGCTCACAATTAGGATATCACCACCAAACTGACTTTATACCGATACAAAACCGACAGATACTTGGCCAAAAGGTGTAATGTTTTCCCCTGAGAAGTGCCTGGCGAACTGGAGGAGGCGGGGGGGGGGGGGGGGGGGGGAGGGGGATCTTCTATGCCACTAAACAATGATCACGTATTACATCACATATATATACCTTCAGGGTCTGAGGCCCACATCTTTCAAAAATAACTTTCAATACCTTGCGACACGAACACAAATTCTTTATCGATTTGAAGTTGATTGATGCTCCGCCTGCTATGAGTATGAGTTAAAAGCTCTTTCCAGGTAGCACTATCAATTTGTCTGTCATTTCCTTTTCTCAAGATTTCGAAAGCATGAACTTCAAAGCATGGTGATTGTGTGTGCTGGTTCTTTTAGTGAACTAATTGATCATTTCGTAAAACCATGCAGACTGATGGAATTCAGGAACAAGCCTAGGAGCGCTTTATCACTTTCACGAGATACTTCGACGTTAGCTTGCGTCGGAGTTTTTTAAATTTTATTTTAATGTCTTGTTTTTATTTCTTTCGTGTCACTCATTTTCACGAACCTGACAGAGGACACTTTCGTGTTTCCCCCCGGCAGTCATCTAAACACACGGGACATTTGAATACAATGTTTGGTTGAATTACATCGAACAAGAAAGTCGCCGTTTCCTGCCTGCGTATTACCAAACTGTATCGTGAACTATATCTATTCTTGCCTCAGAGTACCATTCGATTCAACACTCGTTCAGTGTTTAGATACAGGCTCTGGGACCACAAAAATAGAAAGCCAAGTTTTCAGGGTGTTGAAATTGCCACTTGCACAGAATAATTAGACGCCATCTGAAATGCGTTGGGACCCCAATACCATTGGGAACGGACCTGTATTCTATTTGTTTCACCGTGACGTATAGGCTTTAAAGGAAGACTATTATCTCGGCGGATATGAAACACATAGCAGACGATAGGGTGTTCATTTCGGAGCTAGTGAGGTGAATGAGGCAGAGAAAGAGAGGGAGAAAGAGAGAGAGAGAGAGAAAGAGAGAGAGAGAGAGAGAGAGAGAGGGGGAAATTTTGAAAGGAAAAGCAACATAACATTCAAAGAAACACGGAAAACATTTCGGAGAAAAGATGCTCATTGATGAAGGAGAGAAGAGAGAGAGAGAGAGAGAGGGGGAGAGAGAGAGAGAGAGAGAGAGAGAGGGAGAGAGAGAGAGAGTACGTGTGTATGTGTGTGCGTGCGTGTTCGTGTGAATGTGTGTGTGTGTGTGAGAAAGTGAGAGAGAGAAAGAGCTATATTTTGATTTCATAGGTTTTTCTACGTTACATAGAATGTTTCGTATTTCATTCTACCTACAAAACTACATGCCTTCAAACCTTAATCACATTATATTTATTTGTACATCTTGATTTCATTTTACCATTTGTTAGTAACTGTTTGGTTGAATTTTAGATTTGTTCTTGTCTTATAAAATATGTGGACCATTGTTCCCTGAGGAGAAGTATCCTTAATGAAAAGTATTTCGTTCTGTCTTCTGTTTTGTGCACGAAAATAAGGCGTCTTATATGCAATGTAACTTGAAAACGGTGCCAACCTGCCTATATTCAGATATCGATTTTGAGATTGAGCCTCCCTTGTGATGCCTTCGTTGAAGCTTACGGCTTTCAATTACTATTCACAAGTAAATTTTATACTGAGGTGATATAGTTTTAAAAAATGGGTTCGGGTCGCGTCACTCCGATGCAGGCCTACCGAACAGAAATCGCTTACGGAGGGTGTATCTTTGGCCTATGTTCAATAGTTTGGATATGAACAGTTTAAACATTGACTAAAGATAAACTTATGTGTTTGTTTGACTCTGAGTATCCACTGGCGTATGAGCCAAATTTCAGCCAGTCACGGGGATGACATCACTAGCCTGAACATATGTATAATATTTCAATTTTCCACGTTTGCTCATTCGCAAAACCTAGTGTTGTGTATTTTTCTATTATCTACACAAATCTTGAACTAATAGGATGCACTAATAGTTATGTTTTGCTTTCAGTGGCATAAAGATGAACGAGATAAAGGATAAAAGTGATCTAAGTATAAGGGAGGCCAAATAGGCCTATGTACCACTTTTCTGCTCATTTGTCACAATTGAATGTTTGTCACAGCTACATAGAAACTTCTCAAAACATTGAGATTTTGTAATTCTAGACAATTTTTTCACAATATGAAACCCCGATGACTAGAACTCAACGTCAGTTTACAATCAACTGTAAAGTCAATCCTGGGCCCCGTCTTATAAAGAGGTAATATCAATTGCAAATTATTTGTGATTGATATCAATCGCAACTACGTACATAAGAAATAGGATACTGCAAACTTCTGATTGATTTGGATCAATTGCAACTTTTTATAAGATAGGGCCCTGATTAGTCTTAGTATAGACATTATTTTTAATTGATAGAGCTGATTTGTTATGCTCATGTAATAGATAAGGTTTGTTTTAATTGTAAAGGTTTTCAAAATATTGCAAAAAATACCTCATTTCATGATCTTTACGTATTTAAAATATACATATTGCATATATACCGATTTATCATGCTTATTTACATATTAACTTACAAATAAACTTATATAGATAGAGAACTGGTATCAATTTTTTAGCAAATATATATATTTAAATGCAAGTTAAAGAAAGACCAACGAAGATATTCGACAACCAATTATATTACAAGGGGGGAGAATATCAATGCAATATTTCATTCATAATTTTTGCAGCGAGGTCACCGTGCCATCTGAACAATAATATCTACGTCAGAGTAGTGAAAAGGAAAACAAAAATCGTTATATTTTGTGCATCATGATTTTACACTACCCTAATCTACTTGTACTATGCCCTAAATAGTTGAGTTTTATTTTTAGCTGCATTCGTGTTATAAATTAGCACCTGTGAACAACGAAGAAGGACAATACCAAACGAAGAATTATTAAACATCAATAATAATGCAATTATAGATAACGTTCAGGAAGAATTTTGGCACAAAACGTGATAAATCGATAACCCTACAAAGAGTTTATTTTGACGAGTACAACTCTGACGTAGATACAATCATGTCGGATAAACTTAGCCTATTCTCATGTTAATCGTTTTGTCCTACGTTATTCATATGAATGGCAGGGTATATTTGCACTAGAGGAACACCCGTTTGATTAAACAAAATAAACAAATTTAATTTTATTGGAAAAAATAATATCAAAAATATCGCCATCTTGTGCGCATTTAAAGTTCAGAATCAGCGCGTCTACCATGAGATAGACAAATTAATAGATAATTATCTCCTGGGCGACTACTTCACAGCTTTTTTCTGACGTTGAAGTCTCTGCCTTGACGCGATGTTTACATTATTTAAAATACTATTTTCTATTTTCCGTTAAGGATACGTTGAAAACCCGCGGGGAGCCACCGAACCTGGGTTCTGTTAGCTTTGAACTCGACGGGATACCTTCGCTAATTAGTCATCCAATTGCATCAGCAGTTACATTGCACATAGGTCAATGAATACGTATGTAGTATAGAAGTAAAAGATTGATGTATGTACGCTCCCATGGAGATTGAGGAAGCCACCGCCCCCCCCCCCACACACACACACACTCACATACATCCGATGCTTTCACTGAAAGCAGTCACCTAATGTCTTGGATATTTCTTTAAAAAGAAAAAGAAAACTAATATATTAGTATTCAGGGTATCAGTATTCTTGCTTACCGTGAAATATGGAATTTTTCATTTTACTATCACGGTGATTGCCATAAGTCATAACATTGCGATTTGATAGAAAATTGCAGTCGAGCAAGATAACGTGTCTCAGTCACACACTACTGAATCATGGTATTCAAAAACAAATTCTGTGTGATATAGGCATACTTATGAAAACACAATTCATGAGTTAATCTAATCGTGGGTGAAGGGGACGCACGAGAGATAGAAACCTGCAGTAATATATTTAATTGTAGTTATAGCTAAGCCACCACACAACCAGACCGACTCCAAAAGCGACCGATTGTTGCAATGTTGGTCAAGGGGGGGGGGGGAGGGAGGGGAAGTAATTATTGTCAGTCTGGTCTAAGTCTGGTTTCAGACTCGTTGATGTGACTGGAGTATAATGAATGACCTTGTCATTGGTTTGTGATGTCATTCATATACCCACGCAAGAATACGCATTCATCTAAAAAAAAATATACCTTGATAGCTCTTCAGCTCTTGCTTAAAGGTTAACATTTTAGGCGAATATGAAGGTGGTTTTAGTTTTTCGCAAAAATTGCTTGATGAAGAATACTAGAGAGATTTTGAGAAACTTGTCATAGATCGGTATGTTACGGAAGAAATTCGCTTTTTGCAGAGTTTATTAGTTTTTACATCTTTATGTAAAAATCATAGGATGTAATTTCGATGAATGAATAGTTGAATAAGAAAAACACCCTGGCTCCTTTCCTCCATTTTGAAGTCACCAGTGATAAGATGTTATGTTATATGTATTTATTCACTGTATAGTTTGATAGAATTCATATTCTTTATATATGTTGCAAATAAGCACAGTCATATTTTATATTTGTGTTTTGAATTGCTTGTACGTTTGCTTTTAACACCTCATTTCATTTGTCTTTATTTACATGCAGGTAGACTGAACATCAGAGAGGCCTTGTGATTAGCGAAGACCGAAGGAGTTTCTTTTGTTTTTAACTGACTTGATACCCACCACCACTACGCGCCAAAACCCGTGAACGTGAGGCATCCAACGAAGCTGAGGCATCCGTCTATACAGGTGTGCGACCAGTTGAACTCACACATCTGTAGAAGCAACTCTCCAGCGCACACAATAGCTTCGCCATGTGGCGGGTTCGAAATGACGACATCGCTGCTTCGACGCCTTAAGCGCTAGACAAACATCAACTCCAGCCAGCTACATGACTTTGGAACATGCACGAGGATAGCCCAGTGGTGCTCGCTCGATAATGATTTCCCACACGAGTCGCTTATCCCAAACTCCAACTCGCGCACGTGACAGGCAAATTAACCACTTTTGAAAGGTGATGACGAAGACGGCGGCATTCTACGGAGGTCATTGAAGGTCAAATTGACGACTTGGGCTCTTTCTCAGATCTGCAAAAAGACATAATGAGATGAATACAAACTAGGAGTCGATCATTTTGCTCTCTGGCTTCTAAAAAGCACGTCGCTCTTGAAACTTCGTCCTACTATTGTTGGCCTGATCAGAATTTAGTTTCCAGCTTTATTCTCATCTTCAGTTAACCCTGATATGACGTTTACCTGTGACTATGTATAGTCTTGCAATGTGTATATTTTAGTGTAGAGTTTTACTTGAATGGTGCCACGAAATCTCCTCTGGGAAAAGATACAATGGGATGATTACGCGCATTTGTGCAGTGGCATTTGCCTTGGAATCAGACCATGAGGAAGCAGCGAAAAGGCATGTTAAGGCATACGTGGATGCCATGGCTTGTTCCTTACTCTTAATCGATTTGCGTCAAAAGATTGTCATCAATGGATCGCTCATCAACATCATCTATCCCGTCTTTATTCTATTCCTTGCCGTACTTCTACTTTTCTCCCCTGTCATTCCTGGAACAACGGCTCCGTTTCGCTGTCCTGATGGTTGTGATTGTGATCACATAAACGACAAAGTAGATTGCACCGGGACGGGAATTTCATCCTTGAATTTAAATTTGTCCATCAATACTCGTGTCCTGTTGTGTGACGACAATGACTTTAGAGCTATTTCAACGGAGAACATCAATCTCACTCACTTGCGGAAACTTCGAAAACTTTCTTTTGCCAATAATGCGATTACCGTTGTCCATAGAGGATCTTTTCAAGGTCTAGAAAAGATTTTCTTTATTGACCTCAGCAGAAACAGTCTTCGAAGTATTCCTAGTGACATCCGACTTTTGAGATCGTTGAACACCCTTGATCTCGATGGGAATGATATACAGTGGATATACCGGGATGATTTCCATCCTGAATCTAAACTGGAAGACCTCTCCTTGGCCCATAACAATCTACAAACCCTTGAATCTGATACCTTTACGAATACTCAGTCTCTACTCTATCTTAACCTCCAAAATAACTCGATCAGCAATATAAGTAGCCGAGCGTTCATCGTTAATGAGTTTCTTTTAGAGATGGACCTGTCTTGGAATCGACTAGGTTTCAACGATCCTCTTTTACACGTCAGCGATTGGTTCCAGTTACCAGCACTGAATTTAAACAAACTATCTCTCAGTCATAACATGATACAGGGATTCATGAAGGGTGCCTTTGACATGCTCACAGAGTTGCGGACGCTTGAGATCCAATTCAACACGATCTCTCATCTAAATCACGATGTCTTTCAGAAACTACATTCTCTAGAGGTTCTACTGTCTAGTGACAATCAAATTGAAAGTCTGCCATTGCAACTCTTTAAGAGATCACCTAATGTACACACTATAGACTTCAGCAACAACCTAATATTCGATGTTCCACCAGGAATATTTTCAACAAATGATGCTCCAGATTCTATCAATTTTTCAAGTAATAAACTAGAGAATATTGATTGGGTCGTGCACACTTTCAGTAGTTTACGTGAGTTGTACCTCGGCGACAATTCCCTCAGCTCTCTTCCAGATATAACATTCAAATTTTGTGTGAATTTGGCGATCCTCGAATTGCAGAATAACGCTATAACGGAATTTCCGAAGTTAATGAATATGACGAATCTAGAAACTCTAGATTTGACGAACAACCTGATATCCGCAATGCCAAAAGACACACGTTTCGACCAATATCCGCATCTGACGTATATTTCACTCGCATCAAATAGACTAATTACACTAGATGAAGATGTCTTCTCTTCACTTCCGCCAGTGGAGGCATTCGATGTGGCTGAAAACCCGTTCAAATGTGATTGCCATCTTCTTTGGCTGGATGACATCTACGCCGCGTTATGGAACGGGGAGGAAGTCCCACCAAACCTCGAATCTTGGCTTCCTGCGACGTTTGAAAGCATGATATGTGATGAACCAAAAGGGTTTCGAGGTGAGGAAGTTGCCAGGTTGGCTGAAAACAGGAATAACTTTGGGTGCTCTGCGTTCGCCAGCCGGAGAGGGGTGATCGGTCTCGTTTTAGGGTGGCTGGTGCTCCTCTTAACAATCGTCGTTGTTTATTGGAGATGGAAAATTAAGAAGGCAAGGAGACACATGCGAGCATGGAAGACGAAACGGAGGAAGAAAAAGTTTAAGGACAAACTGAAACAACGCGTCAAATCGGATGAGGATCATGCAGACGGGCACGGGTTGAATGGGAGAGTCAAGATGTATTCTCCTAGTCAGCATGAATACATTAGTCAATTCGATCGTGACTCTTATAATTCCGTAGCAAAGACTGGGGAAAGAACTTACAGTCCTGCATGTGTGTGTTTGTTACAAAACGATGATTCGATGCAAAGCTGCGATCTCCTATCCGAGACCACCGTCTAACATCGATCTCGCGAATTTGAGCAGAATCGACTAAATATTTTTAATGAAATTCAAGTGCAATTATATAAATCAGTATATCGTTGTGAAATCATTATGCACATTTTATACAGCTCAACTTTACAGAGATACGTTATATATATTGTATTTCTTATATAAAACAAGGGTGAAGGTAGATGAACATTGAAAAGTTAGGATATATATGGTGGTGTGTATGAATGAATAGATTTGCGGTTCCCCATGTGGGTGAAGTTTTCACGAATGCTGTTAATCTTAATGTAATCATCGCGCATTTCCTTTTGTATACATTGAGAGTAGTATTCTTAGTATACAGAACGATATACCACAGTAGCATTGTCTATTGTTAGAAACTGAAATTAATTCTAACATTTAATATTCATAATTAGATAAATAATCATAAGGAATACAAAATCATTTCGACGGAGACCTTGTAGAAATCGTAAAAAAACAAACGTTTTTTAAATCACAAAAACTTCATTAATCCTGGTAGAAATGGAGACTCGTGAATTAGAAAAAATATTGATTGGTCGGTAGAGTACATTTAATTTTTGTGGTTAGTGTTGTTTTGAAAGGAAATCTGGTTTATATGGCATGAAGTTTCTTAATTTTGTTTTTCTTCTATCTGACTTATAATTCATACATTATAAAGGTAGATATAACGCCGTGGAAAAAAATTCCTAAATTACAGGGTTGTTACTTTTGTTGAAATTGAGAAAGTGAATGACGTTTTAATACTCTTATGTCCTTGTATAATGTCATATTTTTGGTGATTAATTATTCTTTCGATTTTTTAAATTTATTTATTTATTATCATTTTTTGTTTTTTGTTTGGGGGGTTATATTCTATTAAAATAACCACATGAAATACATGGGTATTTGAATGATAATGCATGAATGTCGCACCATTGTTTGTTTTATCTTAATTGAAAAAAATGTACTAAGTACTAAGTATTCCGACGTCTCGTATACAGATAACGCCACCCTTCTTCTATTGGTAATTTCCAAATGTGTATGCAGCCTATCACGAAGATTTAGCGCATTTAGAAACAACTGAAAGTATCAAACTTTTATTGTCAACAAAACTATGCAAAACACTTACATTTAAAAGTATGATACTATGGCTGTTCGTTCTCTCTTCTTATATGCTTTTGTATGCTATGACATGTATTCCTTGTATGAAATATGTTTCAATTATATCCTATTCAAATGATCAAATATTACTTTTTTTTTAATTCATGTGTATGTTGGTATATTCAATTTCGTATGTTTGCATGTCTGTGTTTGATTCCCATAACCGGAAGTCATTTCAGATTCCATTCCGTAATTTAACTCATTACGGAATGGAATCTAAAATGACTTCCAGTTTTATTTTATGTGCTTTCAAAGTGAAAGCCCATTTACAGTATATAGGGTCCGTAAATAGACACATTATCACCAAATAAACCCTAAACAAATGTTGAAGAACTTCATTGATAATAGTTTCTCCAATGAGGCAAGTGTTATTTATTGTTTCTTTTCGATTCGAATGAACAACTTATTATGATTGCTGATGCCATAATTGATTTGATTTATTTGATTTATTAATCCCCGAAAACATTTCTGATTCATCTCAAAGTTTCATCAACAAATTCTAAAAGATTTTCGTCTTAATAAGAATGATAAGTTAAGGGCATTTGATAAAGCATAAACAAGTAGTTGTTCTTATCATTATTTATCAATTAAAGTCTTTTATTTTCATTGAAAGTACTAACGATTTGATCAGTATACACCAATATAATTCCTGATAAAAAATCATAAGCAATCCCATGTAACACCCCATGGTTAACTGTCAACTTAATTTATTGTTATACGATGATAGCCACTCCTTTTGCATATCAAGTCAATCATACTCTCTTGCATAAAAGATGCAACGAATAACTGTTCTACCCTCCAGCGTTGAAAGAAATTTCGATGAAACACCAATTTGATATATGGGCCTTGGGAGACTGAGTGAGAATACCAAACATGTCTAATATTCCCCTATCGTAGGCCTTCCAATTTGGTTGGTTTTAATTTGAAGTTTGACAGGATGAATTCAGATCGATCAACGCAACGCATGGGACAAGTTAGATGATAACATTTGTTGTTTTTGTCCATCGATAATATTTTTTATTACCAAGCACCCTCAGTTATGTTATGCCGCGTCCTGTAAAGAAACGCATATTAAGTCAATGAAAAGCGTGGTTAGAATAATGTAAAGGCCTATTTATAAGATAAGTTTACTGGATGGAAAGAACATGCCCTGTTGTTCTTGTTTTTATTTCGTATAATAAAATCAGATAAAATACATAAAAAGTAATCATACGGAGACGGAGAACAAAATATGGCTGGTAGCCCATTTTCAGCTGCAACTATATTGTTGCTGCTGGTCTTCCATGGGTCCAGTTTATACAATGTACAAAATATACATAATATTATAAATGAACAGACCGTGGTGTCACCTATACAGTGCGTATAAAAAGTATACCGAACTTTGGTAGATTCGTATTAAAAAGTGATCATCTGTGTGACCTTTAAATATACATGTATTTCATTTTAAAGGATAACTAATATTCTGCCCAATGCTACCTTATTCATAACTCTGTTACTACGGAATACTGAGCAGCAATCTTTTTCACAAATTATTGTCAACATTTTCTTTTACCAAGTTTGGCTGAAGCAATGAATTCGGGTCAAAAGCCCTTAGTCATTGTTATTTCGGTCCGAAAATAATTGCTGACTAATTTGCATCGATTTTTAAAACTTGAATAGACAGCGTGAAATTGTCCACTCAGATTATAGAAAAGGCTTATTTGCAAGCAAAATTTATGATATTCTCTTTGTTATGATGACACATTCCTTGTCGTTGAGTCATTTAAAATGAGTAAACTTTACTTGGGACGCTATCTTTTTTCATGAAAGTCTACTGTCAATATTATGTGGTAGTTATCAGGATGAGTTAGTTTTTCCATTTACTAAATCGTGTAGGTTAGTAAATATCTTAACCGAAGCATAAAGCAGACTTTAACTTTTGTAAAGGATTAACAACAAAAACATGCATATGACCTGAACCACATTCGATGCATCAGCACAAATTCAGTACAAAGAGATTCGAATGGCACTTTGATCACATTTATCAACTTTTAATCATAAGTATACCAAAGTTGGGTATACTTTTGATACGCACTGTATATTCTTACAAACTGTGGACATTATTATGCCAAACTGGATGATATTCTTCCAATCACTGATCACATTTTGTCAAAAATACATTTTGCACAAGATAATGTTAATTTGGGCGTGAAAGTGCCAAATTTCAGTTTGCCCAATATTTCTTAGAGAGAGTGCAACTATTGCCAATAACTACTCAATAAAATGGACTTATTGAAATGTTATCTTGATTATGAAACCCATTTTTAAAGTATGGAAACCATAAACAACATAACGCATTTCATGAACTTTCAATTAAAACCATACTCATTTCAACAGCAATGTGATAGCTTCATCTTTTATTATTTGAAATATGTTAGCTTGAATTAAATTATACCCTTCATGTTATCTATTGGTTTGTTCTTCATCTGTATACTTGTATAAGACACTGAAATCGTAAATAAAGTGAAATTATCATGTTTATTTCTACAATAATACGACGTCGTGCGATCTTTCATTCATTTTCTGTCGCTGTACGTGTGCTTCTAATGCCTGAATCAATGAATGATAATATCAAACATTGGAGCTACATATCCCTCACCTTGATAAACGAAACCTGTCTAATGCACTCCCATGTATTCTCTAACCTGCGCACGATTCAACTACACATGTATAATGCCCCATACGTGAGCTAAAGATACTGACTATATTAAGGTGTACATGTGTGAGAGGTTCGGTGAGTGAGTGGGTGTGGGTATGAGTGTGGGTGTGTTTTTCGCCGTATGTTATATAAGTGTGCAGTCAAAGTCGTGAATCCTTCAAACATACACAATTCTACAAACAGGCTAAATCAGACTCATGATGTAAGTTTCTAAGTGGTTATTTGCATTGACCCCCACTAATCAAGGAAATTATAGAAGGGCTTACTAGAGGAGTCCGTAATTGTGCTTGTACTTGCCACCACTTGAGTGCAGAGATCGAGGTTAGTCATGATTCTCCCCACGTTCTTATTCAGGTGGGGAGAAACCCAAGACTTATCTGAAATCCTAATTGCACTCTCTCAAAATGTTCAGTGATGAATTACTTAACTTGAAGATAATAATTTTAAAACCCACTATTACCTATTAGTGTTATAAACAAAAGTTAATTTTTGATAATAATATCGAACTGTAAACTTTACAATGTTTTTCTCGATACAAAACAAAACACAAGGCGAATCAATTGTGGATTTGTTTTAAACTAAAAAGAGCGGTTTAATAAATTAGAAATTCCATTGCTTGTTTTTATGATCAATCTAAAAGAGACAACATAATTATACACCAGTTTTAAGTCTTAAACTAGACTTAGACTAAAGAGGTATAGATAAATTGCTTAACAAACTCACTTCGGGTTCAGGAAACTTCCAAGTTCGTTCAACTATCGTTAATGTCCGCGTGCGTATATCAATCAGCCTATCATGTATGTTTGGTGACCGAACTATATTGATTTTATATCTGTATCGGAAGTACCTTGCGAAGACAGCCACCTGTTTTAAAATTCTTATCTTAACTTCATATTTATCTTCAAGTGAGACATACATGGATTGCTCACGTACTTACTGCCCCACTCTCATCCAATACAACATCCAACGTTAAGATCATGAATATGGAGATACATCGCCTCTATTTCACGACGTCTGGTACATAATGCTCTTACACCTGCTTCTCCGTCTCAGAGGAAAACCTTTAGCATAGTCAAGAAGTTGGTTTCGATTTAAGTATCCTTTAACAACTTTAAAACCAACATTGCGATCGTATGGATATTATAATCATGATAATGCGGTTAATGATTACACATCTTTTAGTATTAATCATGTTTATGTCTCGAAACAACGCTATCGGAACATATTCAGTCACGCAACCTTCCCGTATGATAAAGACGTTTTGGGTGGGAAGAGTTAAAGGGGATCCTTCAACCTGCCTCAAGCTCCACTCCTTCCATTGCCTCGTCATCATTCGCTTTTTAGGAATTAACTTTTTTCAAAGGAGCTATTTCACAAACGGCATATTATAGCTTTGCTCGTGCTATTATTGGGTGTAAGGAAGAATATTGTATTCAGAACTAGAGGAAGATTGGTTCGAGATGGATGCCAGCTTCTTATTTTTGTTGCTCATCCTGGCAGGAGCCGTCAGCGCCACGGGTTAGTAACTAAATGATCATTATCCAATAGTTTATATTTTGTCCGACTTTACTATACGAGATTTGGAAGCTGTTTGCAGCGAACTCTTCTCAAATATAGGCTATACTTCAAAATGTTCGAAATACCAGCCGCTCTGATTGCCTATCTCTACAGAGATGCAACAGATTTAGTTTACCAATCAAGCAGAAGTAAGGCTTGTCATTTATCGAGAAAAAAATCAAATCTGATCAGAATAACATGAGGTAACATCTATTTGCAAATCCGTAAAGTCACCTTGTCGATTCAATTCAATTCAATTGAGTACTTCAATCCAGTCTGTATTTTATAATGTCTATTTGAATAAACTCAGTTTACAACCATTGAAATGGGTTCCTCTCACAACCGTATAAAGAATAATGTGAGTTACTTTAAATGAAATTGTTGTCAAAATTTCAACCCATTGTTAACTTATTCATTTACCATCACTGATCATAACGTTGCCACTGTTGTCACGTTCGCTATGTGAAGCGGTTAACCGCGGCGGTTTAATTTCATCTTTGTTTTAACCGGCGGAGGTGAAATACGCTTCACTTTTCTGTATATAATAGTACAGAGCACAGTGGATACGCGTGGGATCTTTGTTGCCATACATTTACATGTTATAACAAAATAAAGCATACGCACATAAAAAAAAAGACGTCAAGGTTTACTGTTTCATATCTGACCGCGTCTTAATCAACCTATACGTGATGGACAGTCTGTGAATTGAAAGAACGCCATGCATTCCCCCCCCCCACACACATTAATGTACAGTATATTTAACGAAATGGTGTAGCCCAATCAGGCCTAATTACCTATTATCTGGGTCTAATAATAATAATAATATTTAATTTTTATAGGGGGAAGGGGACGTTTACACCAACTTCACTTTATGCTGGATCTCCACTGCTAGATAATATTATATAGATATTTTTTCACCATTGTCTCTATTTTTTCCCTTTAAAACTGTTACATTCGTCTGTTTAATACTCCTTTGTTCAATCACATACCCACTACGACATGATGCAATGTTGAACAGCCACAACATGTACATGCCTAGTGCTTGCATGGTTATGACGTTCTGACATTACTAATTAATCAACGGCACTTCATTTTAAAGGCCCCTCTGTTGATTATAGGGATTTCTGTTATGAGAAATACAAACACAATCATGATACTATAGCATACCCGTGGATGAATAGACTATTAAATCAATATGCAAAGAAAATTATACCAACCACTATAGCATGAAAATAACCATATGCTAAGCGTGCCGGTGCCGAATAGTTATTTTTCACTGACATGTCTGTTTTTCCAAACTATCTGTCAATAATCGCACTTTTCAAGGTTCATTTTGCGCTAGTGTGACGTCATTTTAACGCTTTGTTGATGACGTATGAGCATGACTGAGGCGAGACGGGACCGATTTATATTCGTCATCATGTATAATAAGTAATAGTTCATTCAGTATATGTATTTTGATATAAAATGAATTTGAATCAATAAACAAATAATTAACACAATAAATAGAAATCGGTATGATCGTTCTTTCTTTCCTATGTTATAATTATGACTGATAATAACATAAACTTTGAAATAAACATTAGACTTATGCCAAATTTAGCATCGTTACCAAACTTATCACCGTTTGAATTTTAAACCGATACTTGTCTATCTTTAGAAATATTATTTGTTATAAATAACTCATATGGATGGACATTGGCAAAATGTCGGTTAAATGTTAGAATGACTAATATTGATATAAAAAATTAAGGCTGGTTCAATAAAAAGATAACCCAGTTGCGGGGCTTTAAGTAATGAGAGAGAATACATGAGGGATTTAGCGACATACGTGAACTGAAATCTCTTTTACCCTCTCACTTTCTACAAATGTATGATGATTATTATTATAATTATATGATTCTATGTAAAAGTAGTAAGGAATTCTTTTTTAAAAAAAGACAAAATTACATTATTTTTCCTGTTGGGAGGTTGCCATATAATTATACATGATTGTGAAGAGAGAAAAACACTACTACTAATGACAATATTTTGGGCTTATATAGCGCTTAATACATATATCGGCAATGTTTCTAGTGCTTGTCAGATTCCTATGATCGTTAGAGTCAGGCTTGCCAGGACCCAATTTATGCACATTCTCCACTCCTATTCCACAGATGCTCACAATGCTGAGCACACTACAAGGACTTTTGCATCCTCCCGAGTGCCCATGCATTAAGCACCTGGGTGGAGAGGAGCCATGTTAATAAAGTGCCTTGTTTAAGGACAAAAGTGCCATGCAGGGGATCGAACCCACAACCTTTGGATCTCCATGCACCCAAATGTTCCAACCACTCGGCTAAGACTCCCCTACATAATAAAAGTGTCTCACGGTTAATGTTATAATATTATAAACATGCACATTTGGCCATCGACTATATTACGCTTCAATGTAGTTCGTGTGTGCGAATTTATATGAAAATGCAGGTGGAGTCAGCGTTTAATTTGATACCAGCTCATGGTCGATTACATAGTGATCAAATAAGGCGGATTTAATATGCACCATTGAATATGAAATGTGTCAGACCAGTTGAGCAGTAACATGACAAATATCTTTCTTCAAAATGCGTGTTCCATTTCAGAAAACTGATTTTGTTTTGTTATTAAGAGTACAATTATTTGGATCAAATGCTTAGAAGCTTGCGAAAGCCAAATGTTTAATACGATGGAAAAAGAGCTTTTTTGTGTTGGAAATAGAGATGAAAAAAAGACATAGAGGGAGGGAGAGAGAGAGAGAGAGAGAGAGAGAGAGAGAGAGAGAAAGAGAGAGAGAGATATGGGAGGGGGGGGGTGGAAAACAGAAATCGGTGAATGAACAATGTTTTAATATGAACGTGTAATGGAACACAGAAAAAGACAAATACAAGCATTTTTTCTTTTCTTCTTTCATTTTCTATGACACACATTCATTTTGTTACTCATTGTTTTTACTTCTGATTTTCGGTTCATATGGTGTATATTTATATATATATATATATATATATATATATAATTATATGACTTTTCCTTTCTTATTTTTAAACCAACATAAGAAGCATTTCCATTATGATGACAGATGAATCAGTAAATTCAATTCATTTTAATTAAGAACTACCATATATATTTTGTCACGTAACCAAGGTAATTTTACATTATTTGTTGTGATTATCTTAATAATATTACTGGTACTATTATCTTAACAGATGACGACTGCAAGTTTCGACAGTTTCCTGACACGAGTTCGTTCGTCTGTGAGTGTTCCTCCTCGCATTGTGACGTTATCGAGGAGTACTCCCTCAGCGATGAAAACTTTGTAGTTTATACTTCTGGAAAGAGAGGGTTTAGATTGGATAAAGAGGAGATGCCAATCAGAAATCGACCAACTCCTATTGGTAAGTTTGTTAATGATATAGATTTATTAATATTTCTTTGATGAAATGTCTTTTCCATGAAATAATGCGATATGTCTCTGAATCTAGATTGTTTACATCATTGGAAAAATATGTTTAAAAATTTCAGACTGTGGTCCTTTGAAAGAGGTAATTTTTTTTTTATTTCATAAAATCATTCTGCCACATTCATCTTTGATGTGTTTTTGACCAAATTTCAAGGTAAAGAGCTTTACCATCCGAAATTCTATGAGCAATGGAGTGACATAATCCGAACCTCATATTTATAGGATATACAATAGTCATTTCTTCTGTTATTGACGGATCAGGTTCAAAATGTAAACTATGAAATCTTAAAGTCTTTATTAAATATTAGTATTAATGTCTGTAAGCTTCCCATTCAATGCAACAAAACAACAATACTGAATTATTCTCTTTTAAAGTCCCAGATACAAGCATCACCATCAGAATTGATCGATCTGAGGAGTATCAAACTATCCTTGGTTTTGGCGGGTCTTTCACGGATGCAGCAGCTCTCAATCTCTACAACTTGACATCTGATGTGCAGGAGAAACTGCTGAGGGCGTACTTCTCTACAGATGGTAATACAAAGTTTATTGCTAAACCAATTACACTTTCACCATACAGTTTTGTATGACACTGAGTTACTTCAGCATTCTGCTCATCAATTTGAAAAGAATTTAGAAGTCGATATCCATATTGGTATATAAATATCGAATGATCAACAGACCGATTAAAAGAAGATTTTGGTTCCCTTACTCCCTTTAAAGTAAAATGTGTAACATAATTTCATTCATGTTCCATTTAATCAACCATTTCCAATCTCATCAAAAACAGTTGAAATTAGAGTTGCTTTCATCAGACGTCTACTATCTCCACTTTCACATTTCATGACAGCGTGACCAATATGGACATAACAACAGAGTTACGTTATCACTTCTTATCATGTTCTTCCCAACGTGCAATCAACGTACCATTCGATTAAATTCATGAAAAAATATTTGTTTGATATAAATGACTAGTTCAGTATGTATTACTCTTCCACTAATACAGGCATTGAATATTCATTTGGTCGTGTACCGATCGCGAGTTGTGATTTTTCGACCAGGGCATACTCGTACGCCGAAACACCGGATGACTTCTACCTAGAAGATTTCCAACTCGCCTTTGAAGACATTGACTACAAGGTAAGATCAACTTTATGGTTCTTAGAAAATTAAGTTAAAACAACCTTTTCTTTCTTAATATTCCGCGAATATCCAAAGACTAATGTATTTTCAAGAAAGCAAATAGTTATATCGTAAATAGAGGTGCTTTCATAACTTGCAAGAGATGAGCTTAAAGCCCCCACTGTCCTACTTGTAGCTACTTGCTCCCTCTATATAGAAAACTTCCCAAATCGGTGCCTGTTGGTCCCCCATGATCCTCTTTTTCGTATGTTAGTTGAGAGCTGAGTTGATGAGATAGCCACCTGTCAGTGGCCTAGCTGGGTGGTCTAATCCCTTCTGGCCCAGTAATATTGACGGTCTTTAAAACAGATCAGCATCATATACTACTCGGATATTCATTAGAACATTGTACACTCTAACCTTATTAGGTGATAACATGTCTATTGATTTGGTGCTTTGTGTGATTTGGGGATATTCGAGCTAATGTTATTTATTTGTAATTATACACCATTCTTAAGTATTATATTGACCTATCGAAATTGATATCAATTTTCTTCTTCAATAAAAGTAATATTACTGGAAATGACAAAACAACACTTCCGATTCATTTCAAATTCTATCAGACATTCATCTCTTTTCCCCCTTTTCCTGATAAAAAAACCTTGGTTCTACGTCATTTACTTGGACATGCCTAACTCTAGATCCCGATGATCAAGCGGGCCTCAGCCATGAGTTCTAGACCCATCAAGTTGTTAGGTAGTGCCTGGTCTGCCCCTGGGTGGATGAAGACCAGCGGTGCTATGCAAGGAGGTGGTCCACTCAGAGGGATGCCGGGAGGGTACTATTACAAAACATGGGCTCTCTACCTTGCCAAGTAAGCTCAAACATTTCACCATCATCCAAAAATGTGTACTAGTTATAGTTAAAGCCAAATTATATAGTTTGGTTACAGATATTTCCAACATTGCTCACGGAACAGAATTCGGTGTTTGGAAGTGATTTTGAAGTGATTTTGATTGGAATCAATCGTCTTCAATATCTTTTTCTTAAGTAATCATCAGCGTCATGTTAAGATTCTTAACGTTTGGGGTAAGTTATTCTTCTCATTCATTTAATTGCCCCCCAAAAATCGTATGCGGAAAGGACCACCTTATTTGAAACGAAACCGGCCCATGGAAATATCAATAGGCCTTACCGAAAATATAGCAATATCTGTGGTCAGCAACAAATATATATATGTCAAAACCAACATATTTACTAGGACATGATGACGGACCATTGTACCTTCGAAATAATTAATTGTGAATTTTGTTTTTAAATGACTATAATAATGTATCTGCGAACGAATGTTGCAGTATTATGACAAGGCTACAATTACCAGTGATCTTTGACAGTGTCTCGTCTTTCCAGGGGGTGTTTCACAAAGATCCTAAGGAGAACTTATCTTTAAGTTGGACTCAACAATTATGAAAAGCCGTTAGCATCTATGAAAATATTTTGTAAAAGTTGTTTTAAAAGGCATAAAATGTTGATTCAAATCATTCATATTTTCTACTATCAAGGAGATTTCATGTTCTTGATGTGGAATTTATAACAAGTCTAAAATACTTGATTTTTCGCTTTTTAATATATTTTATTTTGAGGCTACAAATGGCTCTCCATAAGTTTTAAGTCTAACTTAAAGTTAAGTTCGACTTAGGTCCTTTGTGAAACACCCCCTAGGTTTGTGGAAGCGTACAGCGGATACGACATACCTTTCTGGGGTCTGACTGGGGGCAATGAACCTTCTGCAGGCGCCTTTCCTAACTGGGCGTGGCAGGCCATGTTCTTCAGTCCTAGCCTACAGAGGGACTTCATCAAGCTGGACCTTGGTCCGATCTTACATGAACGAGGTCACAAAGAGCTTCAGATCACCATCCTAGACGACCAGAGGTTTCTGCTTCCGCGCTGGGCTGAAGTGGTAACTATATTTTTAGTGCTACTTATGCAGGACATAACCAATACGAAAAAAGGATTTCTGAAAACTGAAACCACCACAGTGCTAAATGTCATATAGTGCCAGTGATTAGAGAGTTATATTGTCTTCTGAATCGAAATCAATCAGTTCTTAAAACCCTTATAATTTAATCGTCATCATTCTGAAATTGATAGATATTCTTTCTGACAAGAGTTGAGTGTTCTGAGTAATATTCCCGTTTCTTTTAAAGGAATAGACCAGTTTTGAAAACGCCCCCTCTCAAAAAAAATGAAATGGAAGCTCTTATTACCAATCATGTGAAAGAATATGTTTTGAATAAATCGTGAGGATACAAATTTTGCCGGGAAACCGCCTACTAATTTATATAGTTGGTAAATTATCATATCGATCCGGCCTGGATAGATATCGCGAATGCTCTTCAACATTGAACATTTGGGCATATATTTCTGCTTTATTGCGAATTAAGGTTGAAGTATTGCCATCCAAACCTCTGAAGGCAATATTTAAACAATATTGAATGGATATTTTGCACCCAAACCCTTTGAACCGCAATTTTACCACTACCGGTCTTTATCTTTAAGGTCCTGGAAGACCCTATCGCCTCACAGTTCGTAACAGGGATCGGAATTCACTGGTACTGGGACGACTTCGTAGATCCGAGTCGTCTGAACGCTACTCACCATGCCTATCCGGACTACTTCATGCTAGGAACAGAGGCTTGTGAGGGCCACTTGGATCGCGAGGAAGAAGTCATTCTAGGAAGCTGGGAACGGGGTGAAGCATACAGCTTTAACATCATTGAGGTAACTCTCTGGGACGTTTTTGATTTCCTCTCTCGTTATAAACTACAGGAGAGTCTGTCCTCATCGTCATATACATGAATGAGCACCGACATCCTCGAATTTTGTTCTGTAGCCCTGAATAAGCTACATGTGTTTAAAAAAAGATAATATTATTATCATTATTATATCTTTTTCATTTTTCTTTAAAGGCTTTTTATCTGAGGAAATATTGTATCATTGCTAATACTGTTAGATACAGATAAGTAGAGTTGTGACCTATGCATTTCTATTCTAACCTTTGATGGGTCTCATTAGCTCAAGGGGTATGTGATGATATGCGGTTGTGAATTTGTATCAGAATCTCTCATTAAATTACTTCACAAATGTTACATGATTCCTGGACCACTCCCTGTCAAATTGGTCCCTATTTGAACTGCGATTAACAATGCCTTGTCTGGAATGATTTAAAATTATCTGAGAGTACATATTGCTCATGTCCTAGGACTTGGGTAACTGGGTAGCAGGTTGGATTGACTGGAATCTGGCTCTAAACATGATCGGTGGACCAAACTGGGTGGGGAACTTCGTCGATAGTCCTATCATTGTCAACGCCGAAGAAGACGTGTTCTACAAGCAACCGATGTACTACCACCTTGGACACTTCAGGTAAGTGATGGGATACCGGATAAGTTTACATGTAAATGTCACACAGATTAAGATGTAGTTTTATGAAATTTGGTGTGTTTCAATTTCATTGCTATACGAATAAATCAACCACCACAAATTTAACCTTACTTTTCTTCCTTTTACGTCGAATGCTCCATTTGATAAATTAGGGAAACATAAAACGTGTTCGGTATAATATTTCTCACAAGTTATAGACCGCGAATCTTCACTAAATTCACGTTTAATGCTCATCTTTTTGCATACAATATAACTCGTACAACTTAAACAATTTAACCGAAGATAAAGGAGTGAAAGAAACAAAAAGTGAATATGAAAATGAAAATGATTAAGTATAGAATCATACGACTGCAATTACAATAATTATTTACAATTATTACCTCAATGCAAACTTTGGTTTAGCATTGTGATTTACATTTTCGATCCAGAACATTGCATTTTCGTATTTACCACCCATCTATCCTCCTTTTGTCTTTAGTAAGTTCATCACACCTGGATCAGTGAGGGTGGGGTCATCTAGTGATCGTGAGAGGTTGGTTGAGCATCTAGCATTCAAGCTCCCGGATGGTGACATGGCACTTGTCGTCTTAAACAGGTAGGTACTACCCATTATGTGCTCACAGAATCTTCAGAACTCTTTGTTTTTCCTTTACCAAATATCCTCTGCCTATCCTTTTTGAAATGTTCAACTTTCCTTGTACAATTATTTCCAATTACCATATTTTTCTAAAGCATGCAGTCATCATTTATTGTTTGATAATCATTCCTTTTGTTTTTAAATACAGGAAAGAGTTCACGTTCCCTCTGCACATCTATGACCCGGATGTCGGTTACCTGAACGCTGAGATTCCATCTCGCTCCATTCAAACATATCTATGGAAATCACCATCTAATCTGTAAATCATAGGAATAAAAAAGTGATTCTGTCTCTAAAACTTTGGAACAAAACATCACAAACTAACTTGATGTTTCCTAATAAAACAGATTAGAAATGGAACTAACACTCCTATGAGACAAATGAAGATAATAATACGAAATAAGATCCATCGTGATTAGTTATTTAGATCAAATGTTTTCGATTTGAACATCATTCAATCTTCCTCGATGTTTTAGAAAATAAAATGCAATCTTTTAGATCTTGATATGGGAAATACATATCTTAAAAGCGCAAATACTCGATGTGTTATGACTTTGCACTACAGTTTGCCCTTTTGCCTCGCAGCCCACTCCAAAGGACGAAAATATAGTTTGAATAAAATTATTTCTTAATTTTCATTGAAAGGATAAAGCTTCGTGTTTCTCTCTTTTGAGTATTTTCTGTCAAATGTATCTGGGTTCTAAAACAATAATCATATGCATTAAAACTAAACATTACAAAAGTAGAAGTCGGCTGGTTCACTTTATTGTGTCTATCTCTGAAAGCATTACGCCAAAATGCAAAAGTGTTACAAACGTTTTTTTTTGGAGGTTTTATTAGAGTACATCTGGAATCAATATTTGTTTATGAAAAGTATCATTGACAAATTCAAGTCATTCAATGATGAGCTATGGCGATACATTATTACAAATGTTGTATTCATTGGTAATTTTGCAGACACTTTTGAAACATAAGTAATGATGCATTATGGCGGTAGGACTGAGAAACCGACCACCTGTATTTACTTTACTTTACTGGTTATCTTCTCTAATTAAATCATGTGATAAATAACGAATGCGTAAAGGTATTGACTTATAGGCCTAAGATTTTAAAGTATGACGCAAAATATAAGGCAGACCTTGCTTATATAATACCAAATTCTGTATACAACAGAGCTCTGTATAAAGATCCTGAGTGTGTTTCTACATCGCGTGGCCATCATTATGAAAGATTATATATCACGTAATCTCTAGTTACACCTAATTATCAAAGTGCAACAACGAATTGTGATAAGAAGACAGCTGGTGACTGATTTTGGACTGACAACATTATTTTATTGTACTTCTACCCGACTCTGCAACAACAGTTTGAACTGTGTAGCAGATTTGTGGCAAGAAGTATTACATCGAGAGTTTCTACAATTAAAATTAAGGACAATTGGAATAAAATGGATACAGGGAGAGTTCTAACGATTCTTGCTTTTGTAGCTGTGGTCTGCGCAACAGGTCAGTATTATATTCAGTTTTGCGGGTGATTATTATTTAATCTGATCAAATATCTGATAACAGGATTCTCAATTTGGTTGTTGTTTGATGAATGTCTTCAATGATGTGGTGTGAATATTAAAGAGGGGCTCCCTACACGTGGAGCCGATGGTTATTCGAAATGTTTTGTCATGGTCGTAAACCATTTAAATTCGCCAAATAAGGATAGAGAGTATGTAATTAGTGCATATCGGGAATAAGATATCCCCACAAAGCATTTACAAACAGAATCATGGATACTGGGAAATATTGTAATTAATTAAAATAGACCTGAACTGGGGCAGATATTTAGTTCAAAGAGAAGAGAGATGAGAGTGAGAGTGAGAGTGAGAGAGTGTGTGTGTGAGAGAGAGAGAGAGAGAGAGAGAGAGAGATAGAGAGAGAGAGATAGAGAGAGAGATGGAGATATTATATATAGAGACAGAGACAGAGAGAGAGAGAGATAAAGATGGAGATATTACACATGTATATATTTATAGAGAGAAAGAGAGAGAGAGAGAGAGAGAGAGAGAGAGAGAGAAGTAAGAGAGAGAGGGAGAGAGTAAGAGAGAGAGGGGGGGGGGGTAGTATAAGATGTTTTTTCTTCTTCTTTTTAAATTCACGAGATTTTTTGTCTGGTAAATAGATAACGACTGCAAGTTTCGTCAATTTTCCGACACGAGTTCTTTCGTCTGTGAGTGCTCTGCTGGGCACTGTGACGTTATCGAGGAATACTCCCTCAGCGATGAAAACTTTGTAGTGTATACTTCTGGAAAGAGAGGGTTTAGATTGGACAAAGAGGAGATGCCAATCAGAAATCGACCAACTCCTAATGGTAAGTTTGAGTAATGTGTCAGTATTAGCTTTTGATAAGAAATGTCTTTGTTTCTTAGGCATAAAGTTTGTCGTTATATACATTTCACTGTATATGAACAATGATAATAAATTGGAACTGTCAATTTTAAGAATGCACTCATCTTTTTCAGGAAATCACAGGAGTGTTTCCAAATATTTGCCATCATGGTCATGCTACTTTGATCATACTTTTTATGTTTTAAACTGATTATAGAGGTAGTTGAAAAGAACCGCCATCAGGGACCAGTTACATAACGCTTACAATTGTTAAGGATATCTTTGCTTCAATGGAAACCTCGATATGATTGGCTGTTGAGTGATGTTGCCAAAGAAGTTAACATTGATGGCAAAGTTACCAACAGAGGTGGCTTACCCCCTAGTGTAGTAGTAAAATGCTCAAACTTATTTACCCCTGTAAAATTATACCACCCAGATGAGGCTTCATCCCCCCCCCCCCCACTCAGTGTTATTTAGGGTACGCATATGCGTGTTCCAAGCGACCCCCCTTTTCAGCAAAAGTCCGGTGTGTAAAGTCAATACGGGTCTACCTTTTTCTTTTGTTATACGAGCCTTTTTCAGCCCCCCCCCCTTTTCAGCAAAAGTCCGGTGTGTAAAGTCAATACGGGTCGACCTTTTTCTTTTGTTACGAAAAGGACATTTTGGTAACACGCATGGGGTCCGTCCGTTCTCGGAGTGGGGAGGCCGGAGGCCTCATCAATGCATTTTAAGCTTTTATTTTGTATCAGATTGGTGAGCTTCCCATTCAATGCAAAGTTACCATTTTTTAGGATTTTCTTTTCAATCCCAAGTCCCAGATACAAGTATCACCATCACAGTTGATCGAAATGAAGAGTATCAGACCATCCTTGGTTTTGGCGGGTCTTTCTCGGACTCAGCAGCTCTCAATCTCTACAACCTATCGTCTGATACACAGGACAAACTGCTGAGGGCGTACTTCTCATCCGATGGTATGATAACGTGAAGTTTAAATACAACTCTCAAATAAATCTGTGTTAGGGAAAAAAGCACTTTTGTTTATTTTGTTCAAAGTTTGTAACTGATTTTTATTGAAATGGTATAAGCGATATTACATGATAAATAATCGTATGATAAGAGATTCGATGTCTTAGTTGAGTATTATTATTTTTTTCTTCAGAATGTTCAACATTTAAACTTTTTGTCAATGTTGAACGCTATGGGACCGTCAAAGGCTTTTAAGAGCTACATGTACACGTACATCCATTACTCAATCATAACCTATTAAGATACTTTACAAAATGTAATCCTTTTCAATGATTTTGCAAAATTGCTTTATGCGTTTCTTTTGTTGAATAGTCGTGTTTCTCATTTAAAGCTTATTGCCATCCAAAATTAATATAACAAATTCAAAAAATTACATCCAATATTCATAGCCGTAATTTCTTTTAAAATCAAATTATTATACAGGAATTGAATACTCATTTGGTCGTGTACCGATCGCGAGCTGCGATTTTTCAACAAGGGAATACTCGTATGCCGAAACACCGGATGACTTCAATCTTGATGATTTCCAACTCGCCTTTGAAGACATTGATTACAAGGTAAGCTCATCATCATGTTAAACTAAGATGTCTCATTGCAGTATGATAATTTACAACAATGATTCATATTTCTTAATTGGTGTTAATAGAGTTGTTATACTGCATTCACATCATATATGAATCTTCATGAGCCTCCTAAAACTTAAGTTGAAAGGGTTAATCCACCCCACATGTGGAAATAAATTAATACAAAATATCCGGAGAGGTGTGTCGAAAACCAGAGGAGATGCATAATTAATTCATATTTTGATCAAAGTATTTATGATTCCACGCCTAAGGACTATTTCAAAATATTTTTTCAAATAAGAAAACCCAACCAAATAAAGACATGAATAAATCGAAAAAAAGGTGAATCAAAAATTGTATCATGACCTGAAATGCTTCCAAACGTTACCTTGATTTTATTAATTGCATTTGATTGCATCAGATCCCGATGATACAGCGAGCCTCAGCCATGAGTTCTAGACCCATCAAGTTGTTAGGCAGTGCCTGGTCTGCCCCAGGGTGGATGAAGACAAACGGTGCCATGAAAGGAGGTGGTGCACTCAGAGGGCTGCCTGGAGGGTACTATTACAAAACATGGGCTCTCTACCTTGCCAAGTAAGCTCACATCGGGTTTACTTACTTGAACGTCTATGATGAATTTAGGTCCTATACAGTAGATTGTTTCCTTTCTTCGGGTTCACTTAACTTATCCTAAGGATACTACCTTCTTCAAGAATACTCCAAATTACCCCTAGGGCAAATACCTACAGGGGCAATCACCGAAGGGGTAGTTGTCAGGGGATCGGGGGTAACTATCCTAAGGTAGTTGTCCGGGACCAGGGAAAGTTGTCCTAAGGTAGTTGTCCGGGGACCAGGGATAGTTGTCCTAAGGTAGTTGTCCGGGGACCAGGGATAGTTGTCCTAAGGTACAGTAGTTGTCCGGGAATCAGGCGTATATTTGTCCTAAGGTAGTTGTCCGGGAACCAGGCGGATAGTTGTCCTTTTATCGGGGTTAGTTGACTTGGGTGTTATCCTAGTGGGTTATTGCATCTCTTAGTGTGTGTTATCCATTGTGGCTTGATAGAACCCTTCTAAATATTATCTTAATGTTGCGTTAGAAACGCATATTTTACCTTCATATTTCTTCAAAAGATCAAGTACAGAAAGTTGCTGTTTTGCATTACAATGATCTTAAGCTTGTTACTGACAACCATGAAACAATAATATTGTAATATTGGTCAAATCAAGGAGCTTCTTGGTCAAATGGAAATGATTAGATCGAACATTTAAGTTCGAAGTTATTTTCGTCAAGTAGGACAGTTGTGTGAATGTCTGGTTTTCTTCCAGATTCCTCGAAGCCTACAGTGCCTATGATGTGGACTTCTGGGGTCTAACAACAGGCAACGAACCTACGGCAGGTCTCTTCCCAGGTTGGGACTGGCAGTGCATGTTCTTCAATCCTGAACTACAGAGGGACTTCATCAAGCTCGACATGGGTCCTATCTTACACGACAGAGGCCATAAAGACGTCGAGATCGTCATCATGGATGATCAAAGGTTCCATCTTCCTCACTGGGCTGAAGTGGTAAGGCGAATAGACTTTGAGAATAATAGCAAACTTGTAGTCTGTATGCTGTAGGAACTTCTGTCAGGTGTCTATGTGCAAGAGCAGTACTCAATTATAGTTTACAGTACGAACTGTCAGAAAAAATGAAGTGATTAAATTTGTATGTCAGAGATCAATATTACCAAGAAGGCAACATGAAACAAACAAACAAAATCAATAAGCAACCCTCTGCTTTTCATATAAACTCAAGCCGATGATTTCTACGAGACGTTTGCTTTTGCTTAGGTCATCGAAGACCCGGTGGCCTCTCAATTCGTTTCTGGTATCGGCCTCCACTGGTACACGGACTTCCTCATAGATGCCAGTCGTCTCAACGAAACACACCACGCTTATCCAGACTACTTCATGATCAATACAGAGGCGTGTGAGGGGTACTTGCCGTGGCAGGAGAAAGTGATTCTTGGTAGCTGGGAGAGAGGTGAATCCTACAGCCATGATATCATTGAGGTTTGTCTAATATCTTCTGGAGTACTTGGTATCACCCTGTTCTGATCAAACAGCGTTCTAAGTTTCATTCCTTCCAGGCATTCACTAATTCACCACAGTCGTTCAAATATTGTCACCGCAACTTCTGTAGGCCATTGCCTCAATCTTATTCAACCCCTTTTCGATCATTTATATTTTGTAGCATAATCCTCATAGCTAACTCGTTCTCTTATAATTAGTTAGGTTTAATGTTGAGCTTTGTAAGGTACAGCAAAGACGTCTTTCCGGCAAGCATAGTCATGTTTTATCTTTTGCTTAAAACGGGTAACGTATTTGTATGACTACGAATGTGACAACAAATGCAGCAAAGTCGTCAAAGTTGTTATTGTTTTTGTTATGTTTTCATAATCATCTAATTATATAAGCATGGTTATTTGAACATTTATTGTGTTACCCAATCTTGTAGGACCTGAGTAACTGGGTCGGTGGATGGATCGATTGGAACATGGCTCTAGACATGATCGGAGGACCGAACTGGGTGGGGAACTTCGTTGATAGTCCTATCATTGTCAACGCTGAAGAAGACGTGTTCTACAAGCAACCGATGTACTACCACCTTGGACACTTCAGGTAAAGGAGTCTCGAGGAAAATATTCTTTAGGACAAAAAGTCGTAGAATTGTATCATTACCATCATAATCATACTATATTATTGAATTTGTTGGAGTTTTTTTTAAATCTTTATTGCTTTAAAAAAAAAATTATTTGTGCTTTCAGCTCGGTCACCGTCTGGGCTTTGGTTCTCAATGCATATTGATCTATTCCTCTGTCGTTTTGGCTAGTTCTTCCTCTTTTACCTCACCAAGCTTTACAATTTGATTGTACCAACAAAGCCATCTTGATTTAAATAAATGTCTAAAGAGAAAGGAAACAGTAATGTCCCACGCACGTAATTCTACAGGTAGAATGGAAAATGGTTATGGAATGTCTGCATGTATTTCAAGTGTTTTCTTATTTCTTAAACCAGTAAGTTCATCGCCCCTGGATCGGTGAGGGTGGGGTCATCTAGTGATCGTGACAGGTTGGTTGAGCATCTAGCATTCAAGCTCCCGGATGGTGACATGGCACTTGTCGTCTTAAACAGGTAACCTCATGCAATCACCTCTCGTGTAATAATCTTGATTAAAAAAGAAGTTTATTCATCTTTTAAAACTATAATACCTAAAACATTATTTTAACTACCAATGAATTATTATAAGAACACACTCTAAGGTAGGGCATTTGAAAGAGTTTTCAAAAACGGTTTCATTAGGTGCTGGTAAACAATTTGTTGAACAATAAATTATTATGGAGTTGTTTGTTCATAAAAGAATGCCAACTAACAATTGAAAATACACCCTCAGTCAAGATTGTGTGTCAATATCAAAACGTTTCCATGGTTCTTGACCTAACCATTTTCTTTCTAAGACTGCATCTAACATCAATACTTGACACCGTCATTGCTATCATAATAATCATACTAATCGCTATTGGTTGTTGTTGTTGTAATTTCCAAATGCAGGAAGGAGTTTACGTTCCCTCTTCACATCTATGACCCGGATGTCGGTTACCTGAATGCCGAGGTTCCATCTCGCTCCATTCAAACATATCTATGGAAATCACCATCTCGCCTATAAATGACGCTCTTTCTCCACCATTGATTCAACTAGTTAGAATGATTATTAGGACTTGAAAAGAGTATTCTCTTTCGAAACCGTCTGTTGAGAGCCAGAAGGGCACTAACCAATAATAACTATATGTGTAAATCTCATCGCATTACTACATGTAGTTATGTAACAGAGTGATACAATAATGTATAGTGATGAGGGGCACCACTTCGTCGCCGAGTAGTAAGAAATGGGGAGGGGGAAGGAGAAAACGCATTACATTTTAATTTACTTTCCAAAGGTATTGATACAAAAAAAGAAGATATGTCCGAAATAATGTGGGCACCCGAATAGACGGGATAAGGAAAGGGTGGGGGGGGGGGGGGTGATGCAGCGCTATATTCCATTCCACATCTCTTGATATTTCATTTTTTTTTGTGCATAACTTGCAGTACCTGTCCTGTTAAAGAATAATTACAATTAAAACAAATACAAGAAGCTTTACGCTGCAAAATCACTGGATATGCACTCTTTGGATTACTCTTCCGAGTTAGTTGATTCGACCTTTTTTCAAATGCTATCAGCTTTCTAAAACCAGTAAGTTCATGGTATATTAATGACTACGTGCAATCTAGGAGTCGTTGGCTTATGATTTGGATCAATACAAGCCAACTCCATTTTCCATGAGAGTGTCCTTGACATTGGACTCTCTGACTGGGTGTATAACGCCATCCTTGTCTCGGGATACAATAATCAATACCTTATAATGTCATACTTCTAATCTTCTGTTCATCTCCTTCCTTCTTCATCTCCTTCTCTCTCTCTCTCTCTCTCTCTCTCTCTCTCTCTCTCTTTTTCTCTCTCTCCCTTTCTCTCACTTTCTCTGTCTCTATGTCTCTCTGTCTCTGTCTATCTCTCTCCAACATATGTTATATCATTCTTTTTCCACATCTTTCCCTTCCTCTCATTTTCTTTCCTCTCTAGTATATGCCTCTCCTTCTCCCTCTCATCAGATTCTCTATCTATAATGTGTATCTATCCTCCATTTCCCCATATTCTTGTCTAATTTGATAATTTGATAAACCTATGTGTATGTAATATTTGATAGTTGCTAACAGTCTTCATAATATTTGTTCATATACGCGACACATTTGATACGAATTTCTTAAAACAAGGAGACAATTATCTGTCAAAATATTATAAATTCTACTAAATACCAAGAATCTCCTAAAAAAAAGTTTTTGTAAATACGTGTGCAAAATAGAGTAAACAACTTCTACATGGACCCCAGGGAGAAGAAAAAAAGTTAGCTATACATTTATATTTCTGGTTGATTATTAGTATGAAAGAATTACGTGTTTCTTTTCCTTTATAATATCCAGTCATTTCTCTTAAGGTTAGATCAATTCTTAAACGAAGCTCCGTGCATGTTCAATGTCGAATCGATCATAATAATGTTGAATTTATGTTTCGTCGCATCTTCCGTAGATGTCAATGATTCCGGTAGCGACCTCTTAACCTACATGCGCCCATCTGATCTAAACAATGTTTACAGTACGTTGTCTCCGAAATGTCACCAAATACCATCGTGTACCATTTTATTGAATTGGGGATTGGAAACCAAGGTTGGTAGATTATATACTTTATTTGATTTTCTCGGGTTGTGTTTCACTCCTCCTCCTCCTCCTCCTCATTTGACATTTCCTACTCTAACAAACATTCATTACTGAGTTGTTGCAGTGCCTTGTTTTTTGCCTAGTCATCACAACAAAGCAGAACATCAGTGTCCTTCAGATATACTCCCGCGCAACACTCGCTCTTCCTTTCACGTGGAAAGTAATAGTTCACCATATCGGCGTTCTGTATATTGTTAATCACAAGTCACTGGATGATACCAGTGCAACAAGTTCAATAAAAAAATACAGAGAATAGATGCACAAAAGTAACAGTAAAATAGTTTGATTAAAATAGTTTTAATGCAATTTGTATGTAACAAGCATCGGTAGGTGCTGCTATATAACAGACGTCTGCTAAATGATATGTGACATATTATGCAATAGTGCCTTATACATATTTACAAGAAACAGTTCAAGTGTAATGATTCTATGGTATTAAGCGAATTTTGGTTCTTTAGTTTGAGTTTAAATATTAAATCACGAATATAATGCTTTCTATTTTTGATCGAGTTGAGTTATTAAAAAAAAGAAAAAGAAAAAAAAAGAAGTGATTTTCATCAAAATTATCTTGAAGATGCGTTAGAGAGAAATAATATTGTACCTATTGCTTATGACTGTCAATTATTGTATGATGGAAGGATACAAATGTAAATCATTATTTCTTTGATATAAAGATTATCTTATTGAACACTAGTGTGTGGTGATCCTCTATCTTTAACGTACAGTGCGATATAGGTATTACATTGTAGAATGATATTACCAACAACGATTATCATTAAATACAAAAAATCTTTTAAAAATGCTTTTGGTACGTCTAACACATAATGATAACCTTGCTTCTTCTTGTTAGCCCAATCTTGAGATTTTGAAGGTTTGAAAGATTAATACTTAGTCGTACAAAAAGCGAATGCCCTCATTAACATTTATCGACAATATGGTATAGAGTGGTTTAATGTACACAAAGCATACATGCTTTTTTTTTAAAGATATAAACAAATTTGATTAAATCAGATAATGTTTTGGCATATAAAGATAAACACAACTATATGATAATTTCGTCAGATACAGAATCGGTTCATAATTATGTACACCTAATTAGCATGCTGGTATAATGAATACAAACACATGTAGTTAAAATATATTGATCACTTCTTATACACAATAAAATACTGCAAAATGATTTTAAAATCAATCAATAAGTCAAAACAAAATGGAAAAGCGTGCAGTTGAAACTTCATTTGTATCTAGATGGTGTTTACCTGAATAACATAAACCAACCAATCCGATTCTAATTTTGTCAATATTTGTTACAATGAAGAACAATTTACCATTACCAGACCAATCTGTGGTGCCCTATAAAATGTTCAGGTATTTATACTAGTCAGCGGACATACATGAATCGATGAACTGTCTTTATTAAAATGAACAATTAGCCAAATTGAAGGATTTAAAACTAAGACAGTGAGATGCATTGATGGAGATTTAAAGAAGAAGAAAAAAGAATAGTAGAGTGCAATGCAATAAAAGGAAACAAAAATGATACTACTTTTTAAAAAAAAATGAAGGGAGAAAGAAGACTGAAAAATAGGTCGGGGACAAGATGTGGTCGAGACCAACATTTTTCGATCTCAGTAGCCGTCTATCAATTGGAATTCTCAAATCGAATAATTTCCTGTCATGGGTGAGAGGGGGAAGGGGGGGGGGAGGAAGGGGTACGCAATGAAAAGAGATAATTTCCTTCCATGTACACGATTTCTTATATACGTGTGTAGTTTAAGTTGCCGTCACTTGGTTGAATATTTGATATGAATGCACCATGCTCTCCTATTTCCACAAAATGTCATAGTCAACACTGCAATGTTAAATAACAGAATAAATAGATTATCAAACCAAATTATAAGATGCACGCAATGAGGTGGGATTATGTTATGCATGTAAATAACATTCACATCAATAATGTCAAAGAAAGTTCATTTGTCTATAGCTATCACTTAGCGTATGTACATGATTGTACGTTTATAGAATTCATCTCTAAGCAAGTTTCGATGGTCCATTTCTACTCAGATATTTACATATCATAATATGTACAATTTAGAAGAAGCATAGTGAGTGTCGTAATACATGAAGAAATAGATTATGAATACCGAATTGAATGATATACTGTCTTTTGTTTTAATATACTAATGTACAAAACAATCTAGCGACATGTATGAATTGATGAGATTCACCATGAAGTTGCATACAATGAATACAAATGCTGGAGTATCTCAAACACCAGAAAATGATAAATTCAAACAATAAACAAAAAATATAAATTACATTCCAGCTTTCGACAAAAGAAAAAAAAAACGACAACATCAATTCCTATATCATGTGTACCGGCATACTTTTGCGGTCATCAAAAATCATCTAAGCAAATTTTTACAAAGTGTATACTGTAAATAATGATACAATAATATGGTTAAATACAACAAAAATACAATTTTTATACATAAACGAAACTGGCAAAATGGCATGTCTATTTCAAAACATATGTACAATTTTTTTAATATAAAAAATATGATCTATCATGTTAACCATTAAATAAATTATTTTTTATCTACTACGTAAAATTCAGCTTCTGTTTTGCCTTGATACACATTTTTACAGCGCTCATATATGTATGTGTGGCATTAAACATGTTAGACATTAGAAAAGCTTGTTTCATTTATGCGAATATTTCATAAAATCGCACCATTCTTTCGGTAATTTTTGAGTTGTTCTTGAAAACAATTTGTTTACTATATTTATCTATAAAAATTAACAAAGAAAAAGTCACCGTAATGAATTGATCAAGATACTTATTTCAGTGATCCAGATATGAATACGAGAGGATATATATTTGTAAACATAAATAAGATAAAATTAATGGTTCTTTCGGATTTTGAACATGCAGTACTTCTTCATGAGCTAGTGAAGCACTGTGACAAAATAACGTAAAACGAAAGTTTTTTTGTCCAAATCTAAATCATCAAGCTTTTCTGTTGAACTCCCATGAATGTTTGGGGTGTCGAATGCTCAGCTGAGAATCTAGTCTGTTTTCTTTTTTCCCGTGATAAGGACATTGAACCTGTCTTTCGACGGCTTCATGGTGATGTCTCCAAAGCCATGTTTCTTGAGCATCTCGGAAGCATTCTCCTTTCCCCACATCGTGCCCAGTCCCGGCCCTCCAAAATACATCGACACCGGTGTGCAGTGGAGCATGCTGATGACGTAACCATCAATGGCTCGGGGATTCCCCACGTTTTTGTGCGGCGAGCTGTGTACGTTGACTTCCATCATGAGCAAGAGACCGCCATCGATCATCACCCGTCGCGTCTCCCGAAGGACGCCCTCAGGGTCAGCCATGTCGTGGAACGCATCGAAGCAAGTGACGAGCTGGAATGTGTTGGTCCAGGTGTGCGGGAGCGTGGCCACGTCTTGAACCATGAACTTGCAGTTGGTGAGGCTGAGTCGTGCGGCCTCGGCGCGTGCCTCTGCGATGGCCTTCTGGGAGATGTCAAGCCCGTAGAAAGTACATCCGGGGAAGCGCTGTGCCATCAGCATTGTAGCATGGCCTTGACCACACCCAAGATCCAACACCGATACATTTGTTTCTGAAGAGAGGGATAGAGAAAGAGAGAGAGGGAGATAGAGAGTTAGAGAAAATATGAAATTCCAGTCGAAATATCTATGTACACTTAACAAATTAACAATATGTTCTTGTTTCATGTAATACTTAGTTCTATTCATGTTAACTGTATTCTCATTGATTTGTCGACCATTAACTTATTAGGAACATTGCTACCCTTATCAATATTTGTGGTTGTTCTAACCACACTAACTTGAGGAAAATGGCATCATTACTATCCCAAAAGCTAAACATCCACCAAATGATTGTCGACCCAGATAATCATCGCTGATTGCAACATGATCAGTTGATGATCGGCAATCATATACATTTTTATTGAATAAGCTTGGCTTTTAGTATTCAAGTATTACTTGAAAAAAAAAACAAGTTCAGCATTTTGTTAGTGGAAACATTTACCACCAGGAAATCCATATTTTCAGTCGACTAACCACCCCTTCCATGGTTTCCGGCACTCGGCATGCATGTGGCGATACATTATTGGCGACACACGCCATTGACTAGAACCCACTAGGTGTTTGTGTTTATCCTGTAACAAGTAATTAAAATGTCATCGTGACATCCGGAGTCTGAGCATTCAGAATGGTTGGAAAATACAGTCATTATTCTTAGTATCTGGAGCAAAGGTCTGCATTTATCCTCATTGTTTGTGGTATTTCTGAGAAAACTTAGAGGTTTTAATTGTCAAAAGAGATGATAACACATTGTAGACATATCTTCGCACAGGCCTGGTGATTTGCATTAACTTGTTAATAAGAACTTTCTTCTGAAATGATGGTTTCATTATTATATTTGCTGGCATCACGTTTGATGAAGAAAAACAAACATTAAGGAAGAGAAAAATACTTTGCTCTGATGATTATCATTACTATCATTATTTAGTAGTCATAAAGATATCGCTGATGATAATAATACTTCACAACGAATCTCCCCACGAAGTACAGTCATTTAATCACTAATATCGCTCTCAACACTACCATAGCACCACCATCACCACCATCATCATTACCACCACCGCCCCCTACGCAGTCAACATTACCACCACTATACATTATAACCGCTGTAACCTCCACCACTCCTGCCACGACTATACGATGACCACCACCACCATCATCATCACTGCTACAAACACCACCACTGCCATGATCACAAACACCACCACCACTACCACCAACTCTACCATCTCCATTATCGAGTCCACCACTACCCTTCAACCACCACCACCTCCACCTCTTCTACGACTATACGCCAATACCACCACTGCTGCCATCACCACCCTACCACTTCTACTTTACCCGCTACCACTGTATTCATCATCACTTCATTCACTCCCATCACCGTTATTATACCTGTCAGTAATGAATAACATGGACACTTGTTAGTAATATCTGCAGCCTAGCGCGCATACCGAGGGGGCCGGAAAAGACACCACCTTCACCGGACTGTTTCCATCTACAACATCATCATCATCTTAGTCATCACCATCACACGGACAGTGACTGACTGACGCTGCAGGAGCAGATGCCAATGAAATACTATGGTGGTATCATCTTTCAGACGTATTCCTTAAGACAAGATGTTATTAGAGAGGAAGGCATCACTGTTCACACAGCGTCAATTGTTATGATTTAGCTTCACGGCTGTCAGGTTATTTCCACTCTGTCCTTGAACGCAAACTCATTGACGAGAACATGACTGTCTTCGGCATAGGAAACCAGCCACGTTCATTAAATTGTTGTTCCTCCAGCGTATGTTGATTATACCGGTCTCTTTACGTAGTAATGTGATATTGATGATGACTATGGGTGGAGGGGTGGAGAGGCTGGAGGGGCGATGTTAAAGAACGTGATCGTAGCTGAGATCATACAGACGTGAGAGCATGATCATGTTTTCCAAAACAAATATATTGGTATGTAAATAAAACCTTTATTAATAGATAAATGATGTGATGGCAAGACCAGTCTATATTCCGTGTAAATAACCTGTGGCATTTCATTATCCTTGGACATTAAAAAGAGTGGTGCATTTTCCCTTTATTCTACCAACATAAACAGCATAAAGAAGAGCAAAGTGAAATCAAAATAAATTAACCATTACAATGGAGGAACCAACTCTATAACCCCAACCTTAGGGTAGATCGTGCCCGAAAGCTCCAATGGATTAAAGGATTCTAATTTCTTGGCAGTACGAACAAGCCTATGGAGGCAGTGTTCAAGTTAGAGGGCATTTATCCCTTACCCTCACATTGACATTTATACCTACCGAGCTAACTACAGACGCCACATGACATTCATTGGCTGCTGCCCTTCCGTTCATAAGTATTTCTCTGTCACATAAAGTCACACCTACGCAGACTCTATTATACGGGACTATATCATTCGATTCATATTCCTCTATTGTTAACTCACGAGATGCAATAACTTGTAGCTTTTATTATTTCGTGATCAAAATGTCAATTTCTCATTAAAAGAAATGAGTGATATTGAGAAATTTACATAAATAGCTTCGTCGGCGTCCTCGAAAAATGGAAATGGAAAAACGGAAAGAAAAAGATGTGTGCTGGAGAAAGAGATAAAGAATGAGAAAACAGGAAAATTATATTTCCTAAAATTCTAATTTTAGAAATCACTGAAGCCATGGATATTTTCATTTTCGTCAGTGGTGTATGTACGGGGGACTTGCCCCCTCAAAATGGTGAAAAAGACAAGAGAGGGTGAGAGAGAGGGAGGGAGAGAGACAGAGAGACAGAGGGAGACAGAGAGACAGAGAGTAAGAGAGAGAGAGAGAGAGAGAGAGAGAGAGGGAGAGGGAGAGAGAGGGATACCATCGGAATGATTGACAGGAGACCTTATCGTAGAAGAAACAATTGATCATCATCACTTTATTGCAATAAATGCAATACTTACCGAGCATATCGACGAGTCCTGTGATTGAAGGAATCATATCCTGAATGAGACTATTATCATGCATCTTCCTCGACATGTGATCCATAAAACGATGAAATCTGGGATACTGAGAATATGGAACTCCTGCAGAAGAAAGAAAGACCAGACCAAAAAAAAAACTCTTAATAATACAAAAAATAGAATAAGTTAAATGATATTATCATAACAGGATCATTTTGTTACAGTTTCTACATAACGCATTAAACCCGCCGTGTTTTCAGAGAATCATTAAAAGGTTTATTTTACATAACTTTTCCTTTTATGCAGCAGAATACTCGAAATCGAAATGTGATTGTTAATATCAGTACTGATACTCCGAAACATATACTTCTTCGACTGGATGGAAGTTAGAGTGTAATTTAAAAACATCCGTTGAAGAGGTCGCTTTTAATGAAAGAGTATTGATCTTTATAACAGATCAAACGAAAATAGATCTCAAGTGCAATTCCTTGCTAAGATATCTTCGACTGAATTAATCAATAGACTATTGACGTGGCACTTAATACGACGAAAATAAACCGAAAGCTATTTGGCTCTTAATAAATAAAAGCAAATCACTGCAACCTCATGGCCACGTATATACAGGTACACAATTACGACCTGCAATGACGTTAAGCTGTATTACAATTAGGACAATACCTTGGAAATGTCGGGGGCTTTGGAGAATTTAAAAATGTCTGATCAACGAGGCAACAAGAACTAATTGGTCACGCGTGTTTTGCGTCATTCATAATCATACTTTTTGCATGAACTTTAACAATTTTATTTGATATATATTGGTTGGTTTTTACTTCCTTGTTTTTTTACGACACCGGAGTTTACAACAAAATGTATCACCTTCACACAAAAAGTTCTGTTCATTATCAGCATAAATAATAAACAAATGCGCTCATCAAATAAATACTGCTCTGCAAATGGTTATTCATTAATGAGGAAGACCACTTAGCATTTTTGTATTAGTTAGACATGACGTAACCGTATGAGCAATTCATAATGAAATATCATTATATTTGCCTGGAACAAAGAAATCATTTACCAAATTTGTTTACATAAGTCATGACAATTTGATAAAGATGAATATTTGATGCAGAAATTAATGAAATTTTAAACTCGGTTAAATCCTGAGTTTGCTTAATATGTTAACTTGCAGAGTACATTCAATTGCTGTAATCATGAGTTTTGTCTGAATTAATGTACTAGAGACACAATACGAAATGCACATTATCAGAGGTAAAAGTAAACATGTTAATCCAGAAGTTATAAAGAGTATAAGATGCACAATACAGCCAGCCATGCACACTTCAGATCAAGGGGTCCCTTGCACAGTAACCAAATTATTTCCATATCAAATCAAATGCATTTATTATCCAAACAGGTATTAGTTTTCCCTATTTAGACCTCTTATATGTATACTCATTATCTGATCCAAATGTATATTCCCGCTTAACGTCATTAAGCATTCTTGACATTTTGAAATATATTAATAACTTATCTTTCTACTGCCAAAATAATGTCTCTCGACTCCCTCCATCGTATCCTTCCCAATCAAAATCTCAACCATTTACCTTGTGGGCCATCCTCTTTGAAGCAGCCGAGCACTGAATCGTAGGCCTGACAAAGCATGGGCACCAGACCACTGAACGCGACGATGTTACAGGGACCGTTGGTGAGGAAAGGTCGCCTGGATTCGGGCACGAAGTATGTCTGGTTGTCTGGGTCCATATCGACGATCCTCGCTACCACCATCGAGCCTAGCCATTCTCTGACGTATCTACAGATTGAAGGAGAAACAAATATTGCTAGATATTCATTCCTAATAATAATAGAAGAAAAGTGTGTATAATTATAGTCTGTACTTCTAATCCAGACGTAGAATAAAAAAAACATAGCAGACCAAATAAGGCATCGAGCAGGGTTAAGTTTTCTAAATTAGATGGGCATAATTTAATACTAAGCATTTTTTGTTTTAAATATAGCGCGGAATCTTCTTTTCATCTTTGTGTTCATATACAATTTTGCCGACCTCATCATTTGTAAATTAATATAAATGCATATCAAAAAATCTAAAGCTAGCACGACAGTGGAACATCTAGAATATGGGGAGGGGGGGCGTAGGGGTCGATCCCTTTGGTTTAAAGCATAAATGAAATAGAACTTGAGAGAAAGAGAGACAGAGAGAAAGAAAGAAAGAGAGGGAGAGAGAAAGAAAGAAAGAAAGGAAGAGGGAGAGAGAGATAGATATATAGATAGAGACAGAGAGAGACAAAAAAAGAGAGAGATATAGAGAGAGAGAGAAGAGGAGGGGGCTGAGGAGTGAAGTGAATGTTTACTATAGCAATAATGTTGACAGAAGCAAAGACATGTTGGAATGGAGCAAATGCAGCATCTAAAATAAGCATGATGAGAAGAAATAAAGCTTCTTAATACCAGATATGTGATACTTTGTATCTTAGCGAAGAAAGATTATTATGCTGCATTACAACATCGAACATGTACATTTATAATGTCACTGTCCTTTACCGACCCTAAGCCAGAAAAGAAGAAAGCGACAAATGTCATAACAATCATAATTGTTGTTGCACCTGTTTGGCTTTCTCATGCGTTGTTTTCCATCTCTAAATTCTGTTTATTTCTTTTTCTCCAACCCAAGTCCAATTTTTGACATGATATGGATACTGTTTTCTTTCTCATGTTATTGCAGGCGACCAACATGGCGCAGGAAGGCTTTGGCGGGCTCACCATTTCACTCAGCGGAAACTTTCGCGCGATTTAAGTTAGGAATGTTGATCAGGTTCAACGCCCCAGTCGGCCCACCATTTGACTATTGTCCCTCCTTCTTCCAATTTTTTCTCCTCCGATCCTCATCTTTCTTTCGTCTTGAAATTCCTTGGTGTGTTTTCATGAGAGAGTGGTGGGCGTTGCAAAAATAGCGAAATTTGTTGCGATAGTGATGACAGTAGATTGATCTCAAGTTGAGTACTACACGTCGTGTGCGGTATAGCTCACTGTCTCCTGAAGATAGGGAAAGCTTTATTTCTTTTCGAGCATGCGCAGATCGGAATCGTTCACCAAAGAGCAGGGGAGTGTTTTTCACAAAGACTAAGATCGACTTTAAGTTGGACCTAACTATGGCAGGCTGTTCATTCCACTGTTTGCTCTCACCATTTACTGGCATTGGCCTCTCAAAGGACGTACAAATCGTGGTCACAAATCTACAGAATTTACATATTTTAATAATTCACTATTAAGGTAAAAAATATTACATAAAGATCATAATGGTGAGAGCAAACAGTGGCATGAACGGTCTGACAGAGTTAAATCCAACTTAAAGTCGACCTTAGCCTTTGTGAAACACTCCCCTTGTCCCGTTGGCGTCTTATTTTCGCGTACCATAGTCTGACTTTGTGATGTCATTCAATCTCCTTAAATTATTTATAGGCGTTACTTGTGTCTCCAAAGTACCATGAATCATGAAATGACCGAGTATCATGTTTGTAAAGTACTTATTTACCTAAAAAGATTATGTATTATGTTGTCTTCATATCTAATAAGAAGCTGGCATATTCTGACTACGAGGAAAGTGATATATTATTCGGATGCGTCGTATTCTCTTTAGGACGAATTGTGATTAATATCATAACATTTTCATAATCATAATCGTCGAGTAGGTGCCAACTACATAGGGGGGGGGGGGGGGCTTGCGGGCTGCAGCTCCCGATAATTTTGAAATTTTCAATATTCGAGCAACTGTCACCTCATATTGGGGAAGCAAGGTGGTTAACCAGTAGCTTTAGCATCTTATCTAATGTATTTTGATAATGAAATTGCATTTTCGTGTCAAATTATCTACTTGTTAGCTCTGCTCCTCACCTTCAGCATTTAGAAACTAATAAATTGATAATTGGGCAAGAGGCTTTCAGCCTGAGCCAAACTGTACCCATACAATATGTATACGCCTCTATGCAGGTGTGACGATGAAATGACCCATGTTTTTGTTTTGTTTCAGTCGTATCTCTCTGACTCTCAACCAACAGAATAGGCCTCTCAACTCCTAATAGCATGCCCGAATGAAGAAGCATCGGTCGTCGATCGACAGACTAAGGCCCCCTGACTTAGCCTGTTTGGAGAACAAACTCGACCATATCCGATGTTTGTTCGCCGACCTGGTCTCGGTCCATCTCGGGTTGCTCCAGCTATGCGAGGAGCGTTCTTTCATCCAGCCATCGCACTCTCCAAACCCCTCTCTCTCTGGAGTGATCTAGCTCCCTGGGCCGGTGAGGGTGTACACCCCCGTTAGAGATGCCAGCCACCACGAGTTAAGGATGCTAGTTTCACACCCCTTGGTAGAGAGGTATGCATTAACACGTTTCCTCAGAGTTAAAGGATGCCTGAGACATTATCAACAGCCGATGTTTATATTATGGTACTAAGGTATTTAATTTATTGTTTAGAATTATCATTCTCTTCAAAATACTTTAAAAGAAAGAAAGACTTTTCGTTTTTATTGTTTATATCATATCAAAACAATTACAAAGAAGGTTTGAAAGGTTCAAACGATCCAAATTTATTGTCGACCCCAACCCCCCCCCCCCAAAAAAAAAGAGAAAAAAAAAGAGTTCGTACATATATAAATAAATGAATGACTAAATGACCTGTTTAACTAAGCAACGAAGTAACTTAGTAAATAACTAAATAGATAAATAGGTAATAAGTAAGTAATGTGTAGATGAATGAATTAACTCAAAAATTTACGAGGATATAGAAACATTCCATTAGTACATTGCCTATACTTGCAACTATATCTATATTATATGTATTACACTGAAAGGTGTCTATTTCGCATCTTTGTATTTGGAATTCAAAGTTCTGTGCTACGGTTGACATTTTTTTCGTCCCTGTGGTTGCTGTGACCGTCAACGTACTATCTTAATTTGTTCATTTTCCTCCATATTATATTATCAGTCTAGCTGTCTGAACGAAATGAAACTATTTGGCAGGCAGCCTTTAAGTTTAACCTCGGCTCAGGTAGGAATGAGACGGGATGACATGGTTTAGTCTCGATGCATTGCACACATAGCTCACCGGTCAATACATACCTGTTACAGGTTAGTGAATGCTAATAGCTAAAGGAAGAGTACTCAAGGGAGATTGGTGGTACTAAATATTCCCACTTTAAAGGGCAGATTTTAATGGGTTCTTTTTAAAGTATGAATAAATGTTGTAGGCCTTTAGGGTATGCGCGTATGGAAGTGGGGTGTACAAAATAAAAAAATACTGTGAGTATTTTGACGCATCTTTTTACTTTATTTACTTTTCTATGCATTTAGTATTTTAATGGTTTAACGTGAAAATGTTTTCTAAAGGCTGTCATAAACCTGCAATATATAACCTAAATAATGACTAATTGCAGAAGCCATTTTAAATGATTGTTGGTATCACTGATGATTTTGTTGTTTTTAAAGTGAAGAAAAAAAAGTTAAGCGAAAATAAATATATTCAACCTATTTCAGTGGCCACCTCCCTATAAAGGCCACCTGTCTTTAGTGGTCACTTTTTTTGTCTCCCTTGAGAATGAGATGTGCGCTGTATAACCTGTGTAGAAAGGCCACCTATCTACAGTATCTAATTTCTCTTCTTTCCTTTCGTGGCCTGGTTTGACTGTATATTGATAGTTCATCAGTACAATTCTTTTGAAGAACAAAACACAGGCATGCCTCATGGGACAGGTGATATTGGAGAAATATTCTCGAAATTCAAGAAACATGACAAACAATGTAAACATATATCCCTCAATTGTTCAAATAAAAATTGAGTGCAAACTGTTTCCACCGAAGAATGCCAATGGCTGCGGATCGAAAACGATATACCTCCATTTCCATTTAAATGTTTTTGTTGTTTTTGGTTACTTCCGTTTCCGGTTGCCACAGGTCAAAAGCGTATAGTGACAATCTCTCTCTCTCTCTCTCTTTCTCTCTCTCTCTCTTTTGTTTAATGCTTTCATTAAGTCATCGATTATCCTCTTTCCGATGATAATGCGATGAAATTTGACCAGTGTTTGACAAGAACAGAAAAATAGCAGGAACTACCAAATGCTGCGCCATACGTCATCAAAATGTCTGTCGTCATAGAAGGTTGTATCACATTTCAACACCGAAGCTCCATCCGGGGCTCCAGGCCTCCTGCGAGACAGAACGTGTAGTCTATAAATTATGTAGGCTATGGGAGCTCTGGTCAGTGGATGTACTTTCCACAAAAGCAAAATATATTCTTGGAAGAATATGATCTGCCTGCTGACATCATCCTAGAAGCAATTCTGCTTGGAAGCAACAATCTTTAGGCTACTTGAGAAATCACCTCGAGTTCCAAAGTGACAGAATGAGAGGTGAGCGGGGTTATAGATTTACACGATTTACGTCAGGCACCATCAATTATTTGTGCACTCCTCCTCATCGCCATGATATGCTATGATCTAGGATGCACCCTCGAGATAGCCTTCACCCTCTTGAGGGTCTTGATACCCAAGTAGGGGTCTATGGGAGTGATAAGAGGGGTGAACGACAGAAGCCGAGAAATTGACGACCGGAAGTCTAGAGCGTAGAGGACAATAACCCGAGTTTTCCTTATCAAGGATTTGGGAGTTAGTAGCAACAGTAAGGTGTTACGAGGAGATTACAGACATTTTTTCTATACGTTCTTGTATAGAAAACATTTATATGGATGTTAACAGTCGTTTTCACAAGAGATGGCTATAATAACCAGCCACAATATAAC